CTGACAGCACCTATAGATCAGGTATGATGACTGGCTATCCCCATTTATCAAGTCAGAAAACTGAGACTTTAGTCCTAGCTACCTGGGAGGCTAAGGTAGGAGTTCAAGGCTATCTAGCAAGACATAACAAAACAAACTGAAGAAGAAAACAAAACCATGCCTGGAGAATTCACATCTCTTAAAGTCTGGAAGCTCCAGTCCCTTATCTGATTGTCATAGTAGTACATAGAATAGAAACACATCCTCTGGTAGATTTTTTTCCCGTTTTTGTTTTGGCGCTGGGGAAAAAAACCTAAGGACCTTTGCATACCAGGTTAGTGCTCTTCCACCGAACTACACCTCTAGTGCTTCTTCTAGACCTTACATTATCTCTAGATGGCTTCTAGTACCAAATCTAATAAAAATTCAACATGAGTGATGTTCAAAGTCAGTAAGCTGCAGGGCCAACAAGATTGCTCACTAGTTAGTGACCTGAATTTGATCCCTAGAACCCACATGGTAGAAGGAGAGAACTGACTTCCTCAAGTTATCTTCTGATCTTCACGCCCTGCCAAATAAACAGATTAACATTTAATAAAAAAGTAAATACAGTCAGGCGATGGTGGTGCACGCCTTTAATCCCAGCACTCGGGGGCAGAGGGAGACAGATCTCTTGTGAGTTCGAGGCCAGCCTGGTTTACAAGAGCTAGTTCCAGGACAGGGCTCCAAAGCTACAGAGAAACCTTGTCTCAAAACAAACAAACACAAACAAACAACAACAACAAACAACTCACAGACAGGGGCTGGAGAAGTGGCTCAGCGGTTAAGAGTACTGACTGCTCTTCCAGAGGGTCCTGAGTTCAATTTCTAGCAACCATGTGGTGGCTCACAACCACCTATAATGAGATCTGGTGCCCTCTTCTGGCCTACAGGCAGAATACTGTATAAATAAACATATCTTTTAAAAAAAACCCTCACAGACAAACGAACAAATAAAACAAACAAGAAAGTAAATACATAAAATCAAAGAATCTAGTTATATGCCCTGCTAATCACAGAATTTGGGAGACCGGACCGATAGCTAGATCCTGTCTCAGATGCTACTGTTTAAGGGGATACTGAGAAGAAACAAATCTGTTCAGGGAAGGGGGTGCAGTTCAATGGTAGAATGCTTGCCCAGCTAGCACAGGCTCTGGATTCCATCCTTAAAATCACACAAAGAAAGCAAATGAAGTGTGTAAATGTTCAATGTAAACACAACACTGTTTCTGAATAGTTTTCAATTTATAGTCAACTATAGAGATGTGGAACCTGCAAACAGGTATTTCTGTATTCCACTAGGCTTAAATCTTTGACAATGCTTGCCGCTGGTGATGCAGAGTACTACTGGCCTGATATCAGTCTATAAAATGGATTAACACATGGGCTGGTGACATGGCTCAGTGGGTAAAGACACCTGCTGCTAAACCTGGCAATCTGAGTTTGATCTCTAGAACCCACAAGGTGGAAAGAACCAACTCCCAAAAGATACTGTCTCAAGCCGGACGGTAGTGGCACATGCCTTTAATCCTAGCACTTGGGAGGCAGAGGCAGGCGGATCTCTGTGAGTTCGAGACCAGCCTGGTCTACAAGAGCTAGTTCCAGGACAGGCTCCAAAACCACAGAGAAACCCTGTCTCGAAAAACCAAAAAAAAAAAAAAATACTATCTCAAACAAGCAGATGTTTGAGAGAGGGAAGGGGAGGGGGCTTTGAGAGAGGGAAAGGGGGGGGCTAAAGATAGAACAACCTCAGTTCTTAGTTGAATCAACACTACCAGCTATTATTGGTACTGTCTCTTTTGCACCTTCTTGTCTGTAAATTCTGTCGTCTATGTCTTTCACTGTCCCCTGGAACTTCTGCTGTTGCAGGGATTACCCATCAGGCAGGAGTCCATAAGGTTGGTTCCTCAGCACTTTCACAGCTTAGTTCATCACACAGACAACAGAAAACTCCTATACCGCCCCCACCACCGCAAACCGGACACCAGGTCATTCTTTTGTTGTTGACAGGGTCTCACTATATTGCCCTGGCTGGCCTGGATTCACCTGCCTCTGCCACCCAGTACTGGGATTAGAGGTGTGTATTACCATGTCTGGCCACCAACTCAATTCTTGGTGGTGGGGAGCCATCCTACACAACTGTGTCTTGAGTCAATAAGCAATCCTGGCCTCCTAGAAACTGGAAGTGAGTGCCTTTACTCCCACCTATGACAACCTAAACAGGTCAGGCACGACTGTGTCCTTATTTTTCAGCTAGGCAAACCGAGGCCTAAAACCTCAGGGTCTCGGGGCTGAGAAGGGGGGCCTATCAGTGGCACCTGACTCTTCCATCATGATGTCCACTCCTCTTCCTTTGTTCTTTTCTCTTAGAAAGCACCAGGCCCAGAAGTCCCATAGGTTCTAACTTTTGCACCTCTGCTGAGGCAGCGCAGAGAGCAGACAGGATGATGAGCATCCTTGGGGCACACAGACTGTGACATGTTACTTCTGACCTGTCGGATTCTCTCTCCCAACCCTACCCATCCACAGACAGAGAAGACACCATTAGCAAACAGGCCACTACTGCAGGTTTCAAAAAGAGGATTATATTGAAGAAAGGACGGCTTCAGTTTTATCATGTGCCAGATGGTGTTGAAAACACACAGGGCTGGCTAGTCATGGGCTTGAATGAACTCAAACACAGAGAAGAGCTCAGTGTAAACCAGGGGTAGAAGTCTGAGAATAGAGTGGAAAAGAATTCACAAGAAGGGGACACACTGCCTGAAGGTCTGCTCAGGTATGCAGCTGGGCCAGGCAGGTGCTGTTTCGCTGGCTCTGGCAATGAATCCCTGGGTCAGAGCTCACTCGCCAGCCTTCTAATGGGCCCTGTACAGCCCAAGTACAGACTGTTTTCCAGAAAACCCAGTTCATGAACCTGAGGTAGGTGGTGGAGGACAGATTTTAAGACACTCTGAATGGCTGGGCTGTGGTAGCTCATGCCTTTAATCCCAACATTTGGGAAGCAGAGGGATCTCTATGAGTTCAAGGCCAGTCTGGTCTACAGAGTGAATTCCAGGACAGTCAGAGCTACACAGAGAAGCCCTGTTTTGAAAAACCAAGGTGGTGGGGGGCACTCTGGATGTAAATCAAGAGATATGAACTTTGCCTGGGGGTGCTAGGGAGACCCATGAGATCCTCTGACAGGGTTCTTCTTTCCTGTGGCCAGGATCTCTGCCCCACACCAGGGGTCATCCCTCACTCTACCCTCACAAAGACAAAACATTTTGGTAACTCAGCAGGAGCCTGGCGCACACTCAATAAAAGCTTTGAATGTGTTGTCCTCATCCAGAATACCCATCCCCCAACCAAACTTCCTTCTAATTCAGATCATGGTTCTTCTTTGACTACCCAATGGAAATATCTTTGCCTCCACACTACTGATCATCTCCTCGCCTTCTTGAACTAGTTTTCTCCATACTTTGGAGGACCATTTCCTTGGTCTAAGTATGGTCATCACAATCTGAATAGGATTCGCCAGAGCCAGCTTCTACTGAATGTGTTACTCAGAGCAGCTCCTTCAGTCCCAGCAAGGGAATGGGCAGAGAGCACTGAAATCCAGCTGTCCACTTCAGCCTGTCTGCTCGTGCTTGTCTCGGGTTCTCACTGAGAAGCAGGTATGACCAGTGCATCTTCTCTTCTAGCTTCAGGTGGAGGTGCCATCTCATCATTTCTGCCTCCATACTGCAGGGCCAACAAACTCCTACCAGTTCTGCATTCCAGCTGTGACTAGTTGACACCATCTGTCCTCAATACCCCACCCAGCTGAGGCCTGGGAACAGCCAATCTATGCCCATGCAGATTGTCTTGGTCCAACCAAGCAGGAAATAGTTGTTTGTCCTTCAACAGTCAAAGTGCAGGACTGCAGCAAGAACCGGTGGCCGGAACACAATTATAAAGGTTCTGAGGGGACTAGTCCAACTAACAGTGACAGCTGCTGGGGCAGGAGGGGTTCTATTGGAGACAGGGCTTTAAGGAGAGCTGCAGCAGCAGCAGAATGGAGAGAACAATGCCAGCCCCATCCGCTGCTGGTCCAGCCCCCAGCCCCAACAAACCAAGAGACTAGGGCAGGGGCAGTTGTTGGTGGTGCTGGTCTGGAAACTCCAAGGAGATAAGGGGACAGGGAGAAAAGTCATCATTAAACCCAGGACTGGCTGGTAGCAGTCACACAGAAGTTTGTGGTTTCGCCTCTGGTGTCCAATCAGTCACCAGGACATCCTGTGTGTGGTGGCTCGTGCCTATATAATCTCAGCGTTGGGATGTTGAGGCATAAGGGCCATAGTTCAAGGCTAGCCTGATCACACAGTAAGTTCAAGGTCAGCCTGAGCTACAGTAACACTGAGACTGTTCCCCCAACCAAAAATACTGAAATGCAAAAATACTAAAAGCCTAACACACACACACCTGCCCATAAATACACTGTTCACCTTGCAATTAGTTCAGAGCTGGAGCAGTCTGATAAGAAACCAAAGCGAAGAGAACAAAGTCTAGGCAAGCAAAACAAAATCCCACTCTTGAATCCCTAAGCCCCACTTTGTAACCACCTCCAATAGCTGTGCCCCTGGCTCTCAGAGGCTGAACGGAGGAGAAAGAGGAGCAGGCCTCAGTTGACAGGCCCCTTCAACTCCAGGGAAACCTGATCCATCTGCAAGGGGATTGATTAAGCCACTCCAGGGAGCCCAGAAAAGGCCAGGTCCAAGAAGAGGCCATCAACAGGGAATCAGAACAACAGGAATTTCTCTGCCGGTGCCCCAGGAGGGCCAACTCCATTTACTAGGCATAGGCCACAGTCTAGTCATATGACCAGGAACAAGCCCCGCCCCGAACCTCAGCTTCTTTCTCTGAGAAGAGAAAGCCTAAGACCCAGCGGTGGTGAGCAATCAATGAGCTTATTCGCTGGCCTGCTTAGCAACTACCTGGCCTAGAAGGAGCACCACGGAGGGAGGATGGCTCCAGAGATCCGGAGCCCCCAAGGCAAAAGTCAGCATGTGTAAGTGCCTGTTTCGTCTCCAAGATACAACAGAGCTTCGGGCACTCATCATTCCAGTATTTTACCTCCGAGGGGACATAGAATTAAGGTCCAAGCAGCAGGTTGGGCCTGGAAAGCTAGGGAGCATAGACAGGATTGTGAGGTCTCGTCTCCTAGACTTGAGCCCCCAGGTTCCGGCGCCAGAAGGTGGAGAACGAATACAGGATCCAGGTAAAGACCGCTGGGCTGGCTGCCTCCTTACAGGGTGGGTGGGGTGGGGGTGGGGGTAAAGAGTGGCCATCCCGACGGAAACCTCGATGTTGGAGCTAGGTATCCGGAGCAACCCACGCAAACTCCCACCCACCCGCTGGCCGGTCCCTGCGAGCAGTTGGCCGAGGCTCCAGAGAAGAGGCGTGGGAAAGAGGAAACCCCCTGGTTCTGACCCTGAGCAAACACTTGGGGAGGGGAGCGCATATCCCTTAGGTCACATTAGTTTTCCCTCACCTGCCCCCACTTTCCATCGGCCCAGCCCACCGGTCCTGCGCCTCCTCCAAACTCCCGACACTCAGTCGTAGTCCCCAGCCTTACCTGGCGCCCCCGGATGTCGCTTACCCCCACATCTCGGAGCCCTGACCTCGCGTGACCCCCTGCTAACATCCCTGGGAGCTCCAGTCCGCCCCCACTCGAGCAGGCTCCGCCCACACCCACCAAGTCTGACTTCCCGGGCTTTTCCTTGCGGCCCCTCCAGGCCTGTAACCTGACCCGCCCACCCCCTCCCCTATGCTCCCTACCTGTAGGCTCCGGCTCTCCCGGTCCCCTCCAGGCCCTTTCCCTCCGGCCGCCCAGCCTTTCCCCCCTCCCCCCCACCGCCCTGGCCAGCCTGAGGCCTCCCCTCCCCCTCCGGCCTCGCCCGCCGCCTCCTCACGATTACCCCCTCCGGCCGGGCGACTTCCAGGAGCCCGCGACCGGCGCCTCCCTCCGGCCGCCCTTAAGCCCCGCGGGCCTGGCTCGAGGCTGGACGCCGTAGGCCGCCAGCTGAGGCCCGGCCACCTCAACCTCTCCCTCCCGCCGCTGTCAGCATCGCGGATTCGGGTTCTCGCTCCCAGTCGGGCGCCCCGGGGCCTCCCCTCTCGGCCGTCGGCCGGAACCTCGGATGTCCTCGGGCCGCCCCGGCGGGAGGAGGCCGGAATTGGGCCTGGGGCGGGCCATCTCACCTGCGCTGTGGCCGCGCTCCGGGGCCTCCCGGCGGGCTCCGCAGCGGCAGCTGGGGCCGGGCCTGGGCCCGGGGCGCGCCCCCCTGCGCCTCGGCCTCGGCCTCCGCCTCTGCGGCCTCCGCGGCCTCCGCCTCAGGAGCAGTGGTAGCCGCGGCGGCCATTCATTGTGGGCCAGGCCGCCCCAGCCGAGCGCCGAGGAAGCGCACGGCGCAGCCGGCAGGGAGGAAACGGCCTCGGCCCCGCCCCTTAGGCAAGCTTAGCTGCGCTCCGAGCGCTTTAGTTCTCGCCGGCTTCTTCCAGGAGCTCTCTTCTGTGGACTCTAGTTAGTTGGGCGATTATGGGACGGTTTGCCCTGTTTGCTGTAACAGTGACTAACGACTGTTGTTCCAGACACAGTTTTAAGCTCTTTATGGAAATGAGGTTTCATGGAACGGAGGAAACTCGCTCAAGATCACACAGTGGGAAGTGATTGAATGCCACAACTTTTAAACGGAGGCTCAAGAGGTCAATAAACCTAAGATTTAGGGTCCTTACGCGATGCCAAGTTCTGTTAGCATTTTGCACTAACTTGGATAATTATGTTTTATAACGTTAAAGCAATCTGGCAACTTTTCAGATGGAGAAAGCACTGGACTGGAGAGAATACTCGGCGAGTGAGAGTGTGTACGGCTCTTGCCGTATAGAGTTAAGTTCCCAGCACCCATGTCAGGTGGCTCACACTGTTGCCGTTAACTAGAGGGGCCATCACCTCTACTCTTTGGGGTTTTGCACACAAGCGCACATACACAGACGTAAAAATAACGTAAAACTAAAACAAAACAAGTACTGCCAGACCTGGTAATTAATGTCTATAATTTCAGCATCTGGGAGACTGAGGCAGGAAACTCCCAACGAGGTTCAGTGCCGCCCTGAGCTACATAGTGAGTTCCAGAACAACCTGGACTGAGAGTACCTTCTACATTCCATTGAGAGAGAACTTGCAAGGCGAGCTAAGACAACTCACACCACGGATGGCCACACTTTCCTGCCTTCACACTCAGAGGACTTATTGTCTACGTGGCTCCTCCGCACACTTCCCAGACATTCGATTATTTAATCTTTGCCCATTTTTTGGAAACTAAGATTCTTATTTACAGGTAAGGGAAAGGAGAGCCTTACATTTTAAGTAACTTGCCTAAGAGTGTGTGGCGAAACTGAGATTCAAAGCCAGCGAATCCTATTCCAGAGCCCGAGTTAACCTGCAAGTTGTACACAGGAGACAACTTAAAGTGCCAACTTCCTCAGTTTTTTTGTCCGAAATTAAACGGCAATGAAATTCCCTTGTAGAAGAACTGCATTATTGAAAATCACTCATGTAGTCTATTCCGCGCATTCCTTTCCTGGAAGAATATTGGTCCTGGTCGCCCACCGTAAGTAGTGTAGCTAATTGGCCAATTATTGTCATGTGATGGCCCGCCCTCTTTGCCAACATGGCCGCTCCCAGGTTCTAATGAGGGAAGCGTGCACCGCGACTTGTTGAGTCTTGTGAGCAGAGAGGTGAAGCGTCCCGGGTGTGTGTGTTTGGGTGGATGGGTGGGTGGGGATGGGTCTGCGTCGCTGGCTTCAGGCTCTTCTGGGTCCAGTGCCTTTGGAAACGCAGGCCTTATCGAGGCCACTGGGTTTTAGGTTCTACTTTATAGATGTGTAGGCCACCCCCGCCCCGGAATGCAGCAGTCTGACCTCCCTGTGCCCTTTCCCTTCCCTTGGAAACGGCAGGAGGGTTGAGGCGCCAGTGGATGTCCCACGCCAGGGCGATCCTGTGGTTAAGCCGCCCTCTCCATCCGGCCCGCATCCTCTGTAGAGCTCAGTTCATGGAACAGAAGGCCCAGGGGCCACCCTCTCCGCCAGCGATGGAGAACGGCACACAGCCCTGCCAAGAGCGCCCACCCGCGGCCCCGGAGGCGACTATCACCGAGGGCGCTGCCAAGATCGTCTTCCCCAACGCCAACGAGGTTTTCTACAATCCAGTGCAGGAGTTCAACCGGGATCTGACGTGAGCAAGAGTCAAGGGTTAGCTTGGCCAAGGGGATTGGGTCAGTGAGGTAGAAAATACTGTGGAGTATCACTGCGGGACGCGAGCTACTCGAAGGCCAATATTCGGGAGGGAAGAGTTGGTAGGAAGGAGTTTTAATCCAAGGCCAGCATCTTGAAAGATGAAGACATGCACCGGGGGCTTTATTGCAAGGGACAAGTTATATATGCCTTTTAGTGTTCTCTGGTGTTCAAGGCGTGTGACTCCCCATTTTCCTTTTCTTTACAACTCGGTGGTGGACTCCACTTCCCAGAGCTGGTTCCTGTAGTTGTATTCACACAGACTTGTTACTTTTCTGCAAGTCGAATTAAACATCAGTTTATATGCTTTGAATTGAGGGCTGAGGCCAACCTTGAAAAGGTCACTATCAGGTTTTCTGGGTTTAACGATCTAAAGCTACAACAGTTAACATCTTAGCCCTTGAGGTGGGACTCCTTTTTATCTAGAGTTTGGTGCAACAGGGAGGACATTTGGCATTAGGGAGGGACAACCACCTTTCAAGAAGGTTGAAGGGAGGATTTCAGACCTGGGCCACAGCTAACACCCCGGCATGCGGGGGTTTTCAAGCTGACCCTCCCCGCCATCCACTCTTCCAGATGTGCTGTGATCACTGAGTTTGCTCGAATTCATCTTGGGGCCAAGGGAATCCAGAGTAAGTGGAGGTTCGGGCCTGGGGGTGGGGGGCGTGTCACATAAAGCTCACTTCCCACTCTTTCGCTCTCTCTTTGGGCTCCTGTATGTTCTGGATTCTCTATTCCTTCTGCCTTTTTCCCGGGGCTTGGGGAAAGACTTTTCTGCCATGTCATCAGGATTTTGATGATTTGAAAGTTACGGTGAAATTTCTTAAGAGGAGCGTTGATGGTAGCGTCTGGTTTTTGCCTGGGTGACTGCAGTCAAGGTGCCAGGAGAGAAGGACTTGCAGAAAGTGTCGGTGAACTTGTCCGAGCAAGAGGAGGAAAATGCTGAACAGGAAAAGAAGGAAACCCTGGCCTCAGGAGAGCAACCTCGGACAGCTGCCGTCGGTGAGATCTGTGAGGTAGGGCCTGAGTAAGCAGGGGCAGCTCAGGGTTCTGGGTGACAGGAAAGAGCCACGGAGCTATAGAGGGTGGTTGTGGGAGATCTACGGGAGCCCAGAAGAAAGATGGAGACCTGAGCGTCAGCCAGGGAAAGTACATGCCAAGAAAGCCTTAAGACCTGAATTTGATCCCTAGAATCCATGGTGGAAGGAGAGAACTGACTCAGTAGTAAGTGAAAACTAAAAAAGAAGCAAGGCACGTCTTTGCTCACTTCTAACAGGAAGGTCTACGAGTGTTGGAAGGCCTGGCAGCCTCCGGTCTGCGCTCCATCCGGTTTGCCCTAGAGGTTCCTGGCCTCCGGTCTGTCATTGCCAATGATGCCTCTGCCCGGGCTGTAGAGCTCATGGACCGAAACGTGCACCTCAACGGTGTGGCACATCTTGTCCAGCCCAACCAGGCAGATGCCCGGTAGGTTGACTGGCTGTTGTTGTTGTTGTCATTGCGGGGTGGTACTGGAAATGGAACCCAGGACTTCATGCATGCTAAGCAATAGCTTCCAGTAGGTTCTAGTCAGGCCTGCCTCGAGCCTGCAACTTACACCTGGAATGCGGCTAACTGGGGACAACCTGGTTGGGGTAGCCTCTTCGAACTCTAATTCCCTCGTTTCTAAAAGAATAGTAATTTTACAGGAGTTATACAATGCTATTTTTCTAATTTTTATTTTATTTCTCTGGTTTGAGAAAGCACCAGTAGGTCCCCAGGCTTGTGTTGGAAGTGCTTGTACCCACCCAGCCATCTGGAGAGTCGTCTTCTGAGCCTGTCATGTGCTGAAATACATAGTCCAGAACTAGCTTTGTAGAAGATGACCTTGAATTTCTTAGAATTTAAAAAACATGTACTCATTTTATGTGCATGAGTGTTTAGCCTATACATGTGTGCCTGGTGCTCTAAGGTTAGAAGAAGATACCAGACGCCCTGGAAAGGGAATTAAGTTGTGAGCCACTGGTTGCTGGGAAATGCGCTCAGGTCCTGCAAGATCAACAGGTGCTCTCAACCAGGGAGCCAACTCTCAGGCCTTGTTTATTTTATATTTATTTTATTTGTTTGTTTTTCAAGACAGGGTTTCTCTATGTAGCTTTGGTGTCTGTCCTGGAACTCACTTCTGTAGACCAGGCTGACCTCGAACTCACAGAGATCCTCCCGATTCTGCTTCTCCAGTGCTGGGACTAAAGGCATGCATCACCACCACCTTGCTTTTTTTTTGTTTGTTTGTTTTATTTTGTTTAAAATTTTTAAATTACCTTTGTTTGGTTTGTGTGTGTGTAAGTGTTTGTACATGCAGTTTACAGCAGTCATATCTTTCCACATGTGGGTCTGGGATAAAAGTCCTATCCTAGGTGGCCCTGACCTTATGTAGCCCTGACTGGCCTGAAACTCTGAGATCTGCCTCCCAAGTGCTGGGATTGCTACCACCACACCTAGCTCTGACGGTGAATTTCTGATACTTGAGTCTTTCTTTACTGAGTGCTAGGATTACAGGCGCGCTGTACCACACCTGGTTTATTCAGTCATGGGTATCAGATGGAGCCCCGAGCCAGGTAAGCACTCTGCCAACGGAGCTACATCCCCAGCACGCAAAGCCTCTCTCGGTGAGATGCTGTCTTGTGTAGCTCATGCTGGTCTCTCAATAACTGTGTAGTTGTGACCATGAACTATCGATCTCCTGCCTCCACCTTTGTGCTAGGATTACAGGCTTGATTGCAAGATTTTTGTTTTTTGGTTTTTTTTTTTTTTTTTTTTTTTTTTTTTTTTTTTTTTTTAATGGTCTCACTTTGTAGTCCTTTATGGCCTGGAAGTCATAAAAATCCAGTTGCCCCTGTCTTCCCACTGCTGAGGTTAAAGGTATGAGTTAGCACACGGGCCTCTAGCAGGATTCTTAAATAATAGAAGTGTACTGTCCAGACTCTGTACAAGGGTGCTGTTTAATGATGAGAACTGGGACTCACTACAGGGATTTGTTTTGACACATAGTCCCACCAATTTGAACTCATGGTTTTCTTC